CTATAGCTCAGTGGCAGAGCGTCTGTCTTGTAAACAGAAGGTCTGTGGTTCGATCCCGCATGGAGGCATTTGCTTTTAGATGTCAATTTACCAAAAATTTGGCGGAAATAGACATGAGAGTCAAACTTCGAATATTATATAGGCTACAAATCATATGGTAATCCTACTATCCAGCTTTTTGAGTGTAAAGGCAAGCGACGGCACACTGCGTATAGTTGGAAATCCACAACAACTTTTTGGGGAATTCCTTTAGGCACGAACAAGTTAAAGCAAAAAAAACCTCTACAAACCTGAGGGGTCCATCGTGTTCCTGGTGCTACAAGACTGCGCACAACAACAGATTTGTCTTGTCTGCGGAAAGTATCGAGTGGAATGTCAACATGAGCAAGATCCAGTAATCGACCATACAAAACTGCATCGAGATCAACACTAGAAACACAGATTTACATACGGTTTAAATTTATTACAGCCTTACCATTTCCTATTATTCCCGCATTGTCTTTCTTTAGAAGTAAATTAACAAGTCGTCAAATTAGATTTTTGAAGAAAAAAAAACTTGCCATATTTTTAAATGGTCATAGTTAGCTTTCTTCAGCTGTGTATCTGTGTAGGCGCGTAACAAAACGCATGCTGCTCGTACTATTGTTCTAAACCCTCCAGCAACATTGGACGCATCCTACAACATCGACAAAATTGAGAAAATTGAGAATTTTTGAGATAGAGAAGAAGGACCAACCCTTCGCAAGTAAGTGATCAAATCTCCCATGATCTTGTCCATATTGATGAGCTTTAGGATGTACACAATTCTAGATAAGAATATAAAAGGATAAGATTTCACATACGTTATACTTAAAAGCTCTCTTTCAGAACTTGCCGCAGAGCAATCTCATCATATAAATGCACAAACAGATTGGTTCCACCCAATTAAGATATATAATTTGATGATAAAATTTACCTGTCAACGGTCACGTCAAAGAATGGCAACAGGAACAGCTCATTTTCATCTGATCCACTTATGCCAACATCGAGACCAGCATTTCCCATCGTCTGCAGAATGATCTATGATAATAACAATCACAGCTTTTCCATAAATTTACATCATTTGGATCCACAGCATATGCGTCATCAGTTTTATCTGCTATAAGCCAGCTCGTAGC